TTTATTCTCCTTCTATAGTGTGCCATGTAATAATTTGCGGTTTAAGTCACTCAGCTACTCCTTATCCCATTCTTTTTGATCACAAATCTAAGACAATAGATGTCCAGCGAATGCGACTAGCTTCGTTTCTATTGTCTCGGATTTTAATCTAATATATTTTCCGCGAAGGTATAGGGACCCTAAGGCTCGAAGAATTTTTTGATTTTGGCTCGCGGCGAGCCACATATGGCCGCCCCTATTTCCTCGCGAGGACTTAATTTTCTCGATTTATTCGAAAATCCACGCGTGCAAATCTACTATTTATTAGACAAATTAGTGTAAAAGATCCATTTTTGCAGTTAATCAAGTGTTAAGATGGCTGCCGTCACTTCAAACGGCACTGTTTTTCCTGTTTGTGTCTTTCAAAAACGACACATGCAAGGAACCAGAACCATGAAAACCCACCACGTTTTGCCAAAACTATTACAAAGCACAATAATTGGTAAAATCAAAAGTTCAATTCCTATGAAATTGATTTGGGAACCTTACTGTGCGACCGATACTTCTTTACGGCGTATTCGGCGGCCTTTCTAGTCAGGATCTTGCAATATACGTCCATATGCCAAAAGCACTTCCGATCATAGTCGCGGATAATAGTGAGAGAGACGAATGCAAGAGATTTTAGGACTATGTGATAAAGCCTTTTTTCAAGCATGGTGTTTTGATTTTCCTCCTCAGAACAATTTGATGAATGGTTCTGTTTGCAATGAAACATAGGGTAAATGATACGATTGCCGGCCGCAGTGTTAGTCTCTTCCAAAAGCCCTTTTGTCTCCTAAAATCGCATCTATTTTGGATGCCACTGTGGGCGCAACAACTGCCCTCATTATTTGCAAGTACCGTAGCCAGTTGTTGTGGCGAGGCATGTTGGTGATTGTTGACTGATTCGTACCTTGGTTGGTGGCGAAAACGTGCAAATGACGTGCTTATTGTGTACAGTGCAACGGGGGCTTCAAAAAACGCGTTTTAAGTTGCGGACACGTCGTTGTGTTTTTCTTTTTCAAATTTGGCCACCATAAAAAAGGTTCTAGGTTGTAGGTGGTGCACACCATATGCTATTCTACTCTAAAAATGGAAGAGGTCGACCAATAAGCACTCTCTGAAATATAGCTGTCTGTCTAGCTTCGATCACGTTCGCCGTCACAAGGGTGTGTGCCCTTAGAAATAAGTAAAAGAAGTTGACCTATTCTCGCCCTTAACAGCTGACCGAAACTACATTCTTTATACACCGAACCAGTTATACGAATGCCACCACTACAAGGTCAATATCCATTTCTTCAGGCAGCCGAAATCGTCGTGATTGCACATGCGCGACTTCTGAGGTGATGCTGTCAAGCGTACCCGGAAAAATAGTACTTTTTGCGATGGTGCAAACTGAGTTTGTTTGCACACACAACGGCAAGCACAAGAATTGCCGTGGGTATTTTAACGAAAAGAAAACGTATGTAAAACGATGACAATGGAGACATTGAATGAATTTTGACTCTGTTGTACTACGCTATATGAACAATATGGAGTATGTGCAAGGACAGCCATCTTGTTGAGTGGCAAGCCACTTTTCCAAAAAAACCGTACCGTTAGATGTTGGCGTAGAGGAAGCTGTGATGTGTTAGTTTTCAAGACTCGATGAGCATAATCAGACTTTCAAGATAGTGAGTATTTGATATGATAAGAGCACTCCATATACATCTAAAAATTCCATTTTTATACTCTGCATTGGTCGTAAAAATGTTACGTCCAGCGAGGTTTGCTACTCACCTCACATACAACCCTGCTAGACTAAATGGTGCTTAATACGAATAGCGTACTTAATATACTATGCTGTGTAGAAAGATTCGCAGAAAAAAATGGGATACAGGTGACCTTGAAGCACCTAATCATTTTTTGCATTACCTTGTCAGGAGGTGACAGTATCACTAAAAGGGCGCATCCGATAGTGTGTGGAACTCTTTAGACGAATGGCGGTATACCGGCGAGATGTGCACACATGAGAAAGCGTCGTAAGCTCTGGGCAGCATGGGTCTATCATAATGGTACGGAGGATGCTTTCCAGCCTTGTAGACGAAAGAGAGCTGTATACACGACGCAGAGCAAATTGTGCCGATATGATTGGGTCGTTATGAAGAATTGCGGCTATAAGTGAGATGACGACCTGAAAATGCGAGGTTTCCGTACTGTCCGGGTCCCGTGAGCTTTTTTCCTAGTCCGCGCGTGAAGATGTTGTAAAGTTGTGAACTTTCAAGTTCGAAAGCTCATTCGTTTCAAATGAGGTTTCGACCACCACTCGGTATATGCCTTCGGGTATGTACCAGCCTGCTTGATCGATTTGCGTTCCTGTCTTCACTTGCGGACCTAAGAGGATCAAGTTTCACTTATCGATTACTGAGTGCGTCATATTATTCGCTTAGGTTAGCTCACCCTCGCCTGCGATCCATCTAGTCAACGGGTCAAAGCGACCAAGCTCACCCGTAGCTTAATATGCGTTTGAAATTATGCTCGTAGGTTGGTCGTTTCGGGGGAGTTTGCGGTGAATGCAGTCTCAAAGTTTTGTCGTAATTGCATGTGCGTACTCCTTCAATTATTTGACGTAAAGCCGGGCTCTGTGCTTTGGAAAGGTTTGTAGTCAATGGTGTTGGGATTTCCGCTTCGCGATACATATAAAGGGATGAACCTTAAGACGGGTGTAGCACCCGCCTACGATATGGGGTACTCGCTGTTTGGAGGGATGAGGTTTATGAAGAAAAGCTGTCTCTTAGTGCCCCAAGGACCATTCAGCAGCACATTATCATTGCCTCGGAGAGGAGATCGTCATAATACAATTACGGACGATGTCCGTGTGGCTCTATGCAAAAATCATGCTGGGAATCCTTAACTGACTCAGGCTCAGCTCGTTAAATATTCTCAAACCAATAGCCAACTGAGGGTCAGATAGGCAGCGGTATCCTACACGCTGAAGAGAAAGGCAAGCCTTGTTTGGGATTCAAAGGACAGCAACTCGAGTGATAGATGTCACCAGCACGAAGTCAAGTTCCGGCTGATGGATTCAGCTCTGCTGGCGTGGCTTGCCAGGATCAAACCAAACTCTGCGTAGACTTTGTCTGTGAGCATGCAAAGCAGATTTTTTATCTCATCTTTAATGAGCTGCAGTAGTTTTTATAGATGGCCGTATACTGTATAGATCGCAATGAAATCCGGTCATATCGCCGCTAGAAAAAAGGTAATAGATGGGTATAGTTGCAGTGAACGATCGACTTCCTCATGTATTTTAGGTCCTTAATCATTGCGAGAATGATGCCTACATCATGGATGTTGGAATAATCTGTAAGTATAGAACATGTCTCCATCATCAGTTAAGCTTAATTATAGAAATTATGAGTCGCCGTGTGCAGAGCCATGTAGAATGAAAGCATGAGCATTTACTTCAGCGATTCACAACCAAATATTGCATTTTTACAACGCTATCCGTCAGGTAGCCAAGAGTTCTATCGCTGTATCGAAACATAGCAACAAGCAGTTATGTCAAAACAATTTAGTGTCGTATTAATCATCACGATGACATTTTTTAGCAAAGCGCTCTGCAGAAAGCATCGTACAATCAATTTTCTTCTTGTGAATATGGCTCTTTTTATGCTTTATGCTGGCGTTTAACTTGCAACGCGGCAGCTGGTAGGGCGGAAGCATAACAAGAAAGGGCTATAGTGGCTACATATTGACATGGCGATAGGTCGGACAAACTGACTTTGTGATCCGTTGGAAGGCAAGCCACTCCTTGCTGATTCCACCATGTGAATCGCTAGAATTATAGATGTGAGTATCAAAGCCACAAGAAGGACTGGACAGCTCCAAGTCGAATAGTAGTGGCTGAGGATGTTGTCTGAAGATACCAAACCGCATGGTGCTGGTGATACTTGATAATGGCACACACACGTCCCGCTTCCTGGTCTGCTGCATCGGATCGCTCTTTGCAGCAAGACAATCTACTACCTTTCCCGTAACACGACGCCCATTGGTCTATCCTTGTAATTAGAGTATCGTACGGCACCTTGTGGCGTACTACTGTCGCAGCTTTTATCGTAGACTCCTTCATTATCTCGATAATGGTGTCGTTGGGCTGGTATAGATCAACGTCCGTCGTGCATCCATATGTCAGTATCTGCATAGGCTATCACTGTCTACACTGAGGCAAGTCCCACAAATTTTAACGGCTTTGTAGTGTCCTGTCACAACGAACTGATGCTCCACCAGTCCGTGAGAAGGAGCGCCTTGAGAATGAAGTCATGAAAGAAGTGGCAGATCAGATCAAAGCTATAAGTGCCTCAAGCCTACGGAAACCCATATCCTGTTCATTATTTTGCTATGCAAAATTTTTCCTACGTTCTGGATGTAGACGATACAAATGTAGACTATGTTATGGCTTAGACAGAAAACCGTCTTAATGACAGGCGTGAACTGGCTAACATCACTGTCCTGGATGCTTAGAAAGCAGTCAAGTTCATCAATTATCCATGGTGCAACAGGAGGGCGATGCACAGGATTGTATCAGATCACTCATTGAATGGTGGACATGTTTGTGGCAATTTGTACGCACTTCATGGCTCCAGCCTGATACACAAGAGTCCTTTTGACGTGTTGAGGTGGTGCTTCACAACAGCTTACAGTCCTGATGTTTCGTGAGAAAAGTAAAATGGGTTCCATACATGAAAATAAGTCCTCTAATTGTTTTTTTTAATTTATACATCAAGTAACAAGTTTATCGTAGCTAACGTGCCCGACCACGGGATAAACGTACAGTATTAATTTATGAAGGGTTCTTGTGTCATCAGTAAATTGTCAATGTATGATAGACTCTACTGAGTTTAAACCGATTCAAATACGCTAAAATGAACGTTTATCTTCCTCTAAAAGCCCAACGAGACACTTCTCTTTGGGCAGAAGGTTTCTTTCGTCGTAATCGTTTTCGAATGGCTGGAGCTGCAAGTCCACTGACGACCCCCACGCCCGAGGCGTCTCCGGTCGAGTACTTGACTCGTTTCTGGCGTACCCATGCGTCAGTGTTCATGCGCTGGTTCCTCTCGCTTCCTTATGCCGGTCAAGTGTCGCTACTGCGCAATGCGTCGCCTGACATGCCACTGTCGTACGACCTGCAGGAGACGCGACCACCAGCGACGCAGCTGCTCGCGCCTGAGCTGACGCTGAAAGCGCTGCTGGAAGACAATGGGAAGGCGCTGCTGCGACTTATGAACGCACGCGCTACCAAGACGGACCAGTGCAGTCGTCATGATGTGCTGTACCTCACGTCGCTGCGTGCGAACGGTACCATGCCGACGTTCTCGGGCGATACGCTGAAGCACGTGTCACTGGCTTTTATTGATTTAGCCGACCCGGAGCACAACGTCCAGTCGTTGATGCCCTCGGCGTCGAGCGAGATCGTCGAGTCAAAGAGAGCTCTGATCAAACAGGGCAAGCTCATGGAGGCGGACGTGTGGCTCACGCTGCAAGTGCGGCAGCAGATCATCTTGACGCTCCTGACCAATGTGGCCCATACGTTTGAAGCATTGTTCTTGAAGCAGGACGTGATGGGAGACGTCCGTGTGGCAAAAGTGGGCTGTCGATATTGTGGGTCCGTGCAGAAGCGCTCGACAGAAGTAGAAGCGAAGACGGCGTTGGTGCAATGTGCATGTAGAGCAGCATTTTATTGCTGCACCGAACACCAGGAGGAGGACTGGACGAACCACAAGACGAGCTGTCATTCGATTCGAAACGAGAAAGCTGCTACAGAACAGAGTACAGTGCACGATTAGGCCCACGAAGAATACTCAAGTCGCTGTTTACTTTCGCAAGACGCCGAAGTTGACGCAGGTTATTCCGCGTTTACTTCTGGAAAGTTATTTGAGAAGAGGTAGCGGGTCGTTTGCTACGTACAAGTGTTGCTCTCACACGGATATATGTAAAAAGTGCATACCTCGCCGAAAATCAGCGCGTGCGTCTGTCGTGCTCTCTTTGGCGCACATGATACCAATCCGTTAGGTGCTTCTCGCTCAGAGTAGTAGTGACAAAGCCAACATGCGCAATCTGGACGGTCGGCACGCTTTACAATGAATCGGACATTGCTGAAGACACGTCGTCGTACAAAGTCAGCCCTAGGTACACGCTTGAGCTTGTTCTCCTTGATGGATCGTAATATATTGCAAATAGGTACAGCGAAGGAGTGACACACAGATAGTGAGTTGCGTGCTTTTAGTAGATATCTTCCAAAAGAAACACATCTGCAGCTCATCCATCGACGTAAGCAAACCTGGTGTCGCAAAATGCGTGGCTCGATATCGTGTCGCACGCGATATCTTACCCAATGACCTGACCGAGCGGTCCTGACCCCGCATGATCCAATTGGTGGCAACGGGTTCCACATCAAAAAAATTCTCCGAGCCTTAGAGTCCTATCTATACCTTCGCGGAAAATATATTCGATTAAAATCCGAGACAATAGAAACGAAGCTAGTCGCATTCGCTGGACATCTATTGTCTTAGATTTGTGATCAAAAAGAATGGGATAAGGAGTAGCTGAGTGACTGAAACCGCAAATTATTACATGGCACACTATAGAAGGAGAATAAACGCAGGAGGGATGGTGTTCGTAGAAATGGGGATAGATTACGGTAAGTAAGTGACCACATCCTTCCTGATCTTCACCGCCATTTGCTGTTATCATACAGAAGAGCTTCCGCTCGATGCAAATCGGTATATTGCAAGTGTTACAGAGAAAGCGGCGCTAGCAATATGGACATTAGTCTAGTCACGTCCTGATAAGTATAAGCTCAAGCACAATTCCACGTGCCCATTTCCAAGAATATTAGCAGGAATTGTCTGTACATGAGGATGAAAGCGTATACGCAAATTCCACGCGAATGACGAAGCAATTCCCAAAAATTGTTATGCAGCAAGCTGAACCAGATGCACACACAATGCAGACGACGAAAACAAAAAGAGTTTGTGGTCCTCTATTTTCCCGGACCAAACGCTTTCGTCAGCACAATCTCCAGCTCTTCGTGTGAGCGCTTGGCCAATCCAACAGCTGGAGCAGCGAGCGTTTCTCGGCCAATGTACTCGAGGTGCTGTTTCTTCTGATCCAGCAATTTCTCGATGTGCGCTTTCGCATACATCCACGCGCCTTGATTCAGCGGTTCTTCCTGCACCCAGACAAAGCTCTTTGCATTCGTGAACGTTGCGAGCTCGTCAGCCACCTCCTTGAACGGGAACGGTGCCAGCTCTTCGATACGGACCAGCGCAACACGCTCGGGATTCTTGCTGCGGGCGAGGCGTTCCTTCGACAGCTCGTAAAAGAACTTTCCTGAACAGAAATACACCGTCTTGACCCGTGTCGCATCCGCGATCGTCGGGTCCGAGAGTACTGGCTGAAACGTGGTGCCTGGTCCCATTTCGGACAATGGCGACGTTGCGTCCGCTAGTCGTAGCAGCATTTTGGGTCCCATAACGACCACAGGCTTGCGGAAAGAGCGCTGCTGCTGACGACGAACGAGGTGGAAGAAATTGGCTGGTGTCGTCACGTTCACCACAATCATGTTGGTGTCGTATTGGAACTGCTTCCACACAGGTTCCGTGTCCGAGTCCTGGAGTGACGAGCGCGGGATCAGTGCAGGCGTGTCAACCAACTGAAGGAAGCGCTCGACCCGGGCGCTCGAGTGGTCAGGCCCAGCTCCATCGTTGCCATGCGGCAACAGTAGCATCAGACCCGACTGTCGCATCCACTTGGACTCTGCGCTCGACAAGAACTGGTCGATCACGATCTGCGCACCATTGAAAAAGTCGCCGAACTGCGCTTCCCAGATGACCAGATTGGTCGGGCTCTCTACCGAGTAGCCATACTCGTAACCCATGACAGCAAGCTCGGACAAGTTGCTGTTCGCAACACACAACTTGCCAGCAGCACCAGACTTCGCGGGTAAGTGGTGCTGTAGCGGAAAGTAGCGCTCCTCCGTTTCCTGGTCGGTGAACGAAGCATGCCTCTGACTGAAGGTGCCGCGTCGACAATCTTGACCCGAGAGACGTACCGAGTGACCATCTTGCATCAGGGTGCCAAAGGCCATCGCCTCAGCTGTGGCCCAGTCGACGCGCAAGTCTTCCTTCGATCCGCCGTCTTCTAGTGTCAACGACTTCTGACGCGACTTGATATGCGTGCGCAGGAGACGGCCATGAGGGCGGACACGCTCGGGCAATGTCACAGACGCAAGACCGACCTGAATCAGATTGTCGATATCGACACCAGTCGCAGGGTTGACGTATAAATCTTCCGGCTCTGGCTGCACCATAGTTGACCATTTGCCCTTGAATGCGTCAATCTCCGTGGGCTGGTAGCTGGGCTCGCCCGTGACGAGCTTGAGCTCGCTCTCCAGGTGACCGTTCAGACGCTCAACAGTCTTTTCAAAGCTCGTGCGCGAGACAAGGCCAGCTGCTTCCAGCTCGCGGGCGAACTTAATCGGAAACCGCTCGGTTTGGTCCACACGCTCGTACATCTTGGGCTGCGTAAAGCGCGGCTCGTCCACTTCGTTGTGTCCGTGGCGACGGAAGGTGATCAAGTCAATGACAATGTCCTTGTGGAACTCATTGCGGTACGCCACCGCGACACGACACGCACGGACTACGTCTGCTATGCTTTCGCCGTTGACGTGCAAAATTGGCGCTTCAATGCTCTTGGCGACATCCGAGGCATACCGCGTTCCGCGGCCGTCGGGGTACGTGGTCGTGTAGCCCACCTGGTTGTTCACCACAATGTGCACTGATCCGCCCGTGTGGAAGTCTGGCAGTTGCGAAAGCGCGAGCGCCTCCGTGACACACCCCTGTCCAGCAAACGCTGCATCGCCATGAAGCAGCAGCGCCATCGCGTTGGCATTGGCGTCGCCATCGTTCTTCGCACGCACTTTTCCAGCCGCCACAGCATTGATGATCTCCAGGTGCGACGGGTTGTGCACGAGCGACACGTGCACGTGTTTGCCGGCATACGTCTTGTCGACCGTCGTGGCAATGTGCGACGAGACGTCATCAATGCCACGAAAGCTGTCGGGGAACTCCGAGTAGCCGCGCACCTTGTGGAAAATCTTGTGCGCAGGGTACTCGAGCGACCCAACAAGCAGAGCGAGTCGTCCCCGATGCGGCATGCCGATCACCACGTCCGTAACACCCGACGTCGTGCACGCGTGGAGCACCGTCTCTACCGCCGGCAACATGGACTCGGCTCCTTCGCCCGAGTACCTCTTGAAGGACGCAAACTTCTTGGCCATAAAGGTCTCAAACACGTCGGCACGCAGCATACTGGAGTAGGCGTTGCGCAAGTCGGCAGGCGTCACGTCGGTCGTGGCGACCGTCTCTGCTGCCCGGGCGAGCCACGACTTCTCCGCTGCGGACGTCAAGTGCTCGAACTCGAAGCCCGTCTTGCTGCAGTACACGCGGTGCAGCTCCTCGTAGAGCGCTCGACCAGTGGCTGCCGGGACCGAGACGACTCGCGCCAGCTCTGCCGCGACCAGCGGGCGGTCGAGCAGCGCGTGAAAGGTCTCGACGGCGAGGCAGGCGACGGCCGGGCGCGGCTGGAGCTGCAGCGGGTCCAGTTCCGCCTGCAGGTGGCCGTATTGACGGAAAGCTGTGGCCATCGACTGCGCGGCGAGCGCGTCGAGCGACGGCGCCGATGAGAACCGGACGTTCGGTGCCCGTAGCGCTGCGCTGCGGTCGTTGACGGACCGCTGCGGGCGGAGACGTGCGACACGACGCAACATGGAGCACGGCGCTGTACCGGAGGCGGCGACGGACGTGGACGGCGAGCGGCCGACTGGTGAGTGACAGATGCACCAGAGCCCTTCGAGCGCGTGGGGGGAGTGAGCTGCCTGCGCGTGGGAAGCGGCCGCGATCTGGACAGCGGTCAGAATCGATTCTGCGCCGTTGACGGCATTCGCGTGTGCCGGTGAGAGGGTATCGGGGACCGAAGTGGCTGTCGAGGACGAAGTGGGAAGAGCTCTGGAATCCAATCGCAGGATAGGACGCCGCCGCCTGACCGCATACAAACTGTATGAGCAGTCGGGGGCTGCGCTCGACTGACAGCTGATTCGTCTGGACGTGCACTGTCCAGTCTTTGTGCGCGTGCGGGGCTCGTCTCCTGCAGCGTCGCGACTCGGTCACGCTCCGTGGCGCACTAAGTACGACCCAGCGACCGCCGAGCTTTGACGTCGGAAAGCGGTCGAGTCGCGTCCTCAGACGAGCGCACTTGTCGAATGCGTCGCGAGAAGAGCGTCGTCTGCTGTAGCCGTCTGCTGTAGCCGTCTGCTGTAGCCGTCTGCTGTAGCCGTCTGCTGTAGCCGTCTCTTGTAGTCCTCTCTTGTAGTTCTCCCACGTAGCCATCTGCTCTAGCCATCTCTTGTACGTCCGTGATCGTTTAAAAGCGCTTTTGTGCACGTGGGACGTCCCCGCAATGCTCGACTCGACCCGAAGCTTTAACTGCAACTGCAACTGCACCTCGTGCAGCGCTTGTGCTGTCGTTCGGCGCGCCGTCATACGCGGGACCTGACCTCTCACTGCTACGGAGCCACTTTCCCATCTCACGAGCACTTGCGAGCGCGAGCCCCGAGATGATCTAACCGCCAGCAGGTCGTTGCAGCGTAGCGTCCGAACGACGCGGAGAGCGCAGACGAAACACGCCGTCACACCCCTTGTGACTGGCACACCCACAAGGCATTGTCCAGTACATGTGGCTGGCTGGCTGCCTGCCTGCGTTCTCCACTCGCTTCGTGGCTCCTCACATGGGCCGTGAGTTGGATCACAAGTGTCGAGAAAAAAGACCGCTGGTCGACAGCTCCTGCTCCTGTGTAATCAATCGGTCCGTCCCACTCGGCTCTGCTCTCGACCGGTCGTCCATCCACTTGACCGACGACAAGTCGACGACGTGTCGTTGCAGTTGACGCTACCGGTGCACTCTCTGTTGCACTCGACGGTGCGAGACGCGCTGTCTTCGTGCTGGAGTCATCACCACCGCAGCGGCCGCGAGAGCACTCGAGTGCAGCTACAACAGCACAAGTCGCGTCTTCGCTCGTTCCCAGTAGACCGACACGCAGCAGCAGCAGCAGCTGACTCGACCTGCGCACACTGCTGCTCTCCTCACGTCGCGATGCGCTCATTCTCCAACTCGCGCGCTAGAGCTCTATCGGTCGATTTGCAACAGCCCATGTGGTCCAGCGCAAGTCACGACGGCGCGCAACAGTCGGTCCTGCTGGCACTCGGGGCACTCACCGCCGTCTACGCCTCGTGGAAGCTCTTGAGTCTGCCTCTTCCGGCGCCCGATCCAGGCATGGAGGCGCTCTTCCGACCGTCGTCCACACTGCCGGTCCTGGGCAACACGCTGGACGTGCTGCTCTTCCATCGCCATCGCATGAGCGACTGGATGAACGACCAGACCGATGCGAGCGGAGGCAGACCGTGGCTTCTCCAGCTGCTCTTCCAGCCGCCGTGGGTCGTGCTCTCCATGCCGAGCGACCTCCACGACGTGTTCGTGGACAAGTTTGACGTGTTCGAAAAGGGAGGGGCTCTCCAGGACATGTCATTCGATGTCTTGGGCAACGGGCTGCTCAACGTGAACGGCGACAAGTGGAAGCAGCAACGTCGAGCTGCCAGTCATCTCTTCTCCACGCGGAGCATTCGGCAGGTCATGGAGCCGGTGGTCCGCGAGAAGACGCTGCAACTGCGAGACGTCCTTGCGCAATGCGCCAAGCGCGAGCAGACTGTCAGCATGAAGTCGCTCTTGGGCAAGTTCACGAGTGACGTGTTTACTCGCATCGCGTTTGGCGTGGAGCTGAACCAACTCGGCGGAGAGGTCCACGTCGACGAGATGCACCCGCTCGACGTCGCACTGCGCGCCGTGCAGAACCGTTTTCAGACGCCAATGTGGATGTGGAAGCTCGCGCGGTTCTTCAATGTCGGGGCCGAGAAGCGCCTTCGGGCCAGCATGAAGATCGTCAATGACATGGTGCGGGACATCATGGTTCGATCAATGCGCGCGCGACCATCTCGAGAGGAGAAGGTGAATATGCTGACGCTGTTGATGAAGGACAATGCAGACGCGAGTTCACGCGAGCTCCAGGACACGGCTGTCAACTTCTTCATTGCTGGAAAGGACACGACGTCGTTCAGCTTGTCGTGGCTCATCGTGATGCTGAACCGATACCCGCGTGTGCTGCAAAAGATTCGCGAAGAGATTCGATCCGTTGTGCCGGGGCTGTTGACGGGAGACGCAGATGCCCCAACGCTCGACGAGACGCAGAAGCTGGTCTACCTGGACGCAGCGGTGAAAGAGAGCGTGCGGTTGCAGTCCGTTTCCACGTACCGATGCACCACTCGAGACACGACACTTTCGGACGGTGCGTTCATCACGAAAGGGACCGTAGTGGTTGTCTCCAAGTACGCTGCCGCCCGCCGCAAAAACGTGTGGGGAGACGATGCGGCCGAATACAGACCCGAGCGCTGGTTCGACGAGGCAACAGGAGAGCCCAAGCACATTCCGCCGCCGCAATTCATCACTTTCAGCACGGGACCACGCAAGTGCATTGGAATGCGTCTCGCCATGCTCGAGATGAAGACAGTCGTGGCCGTGCTTTTCAGTCGCTTCGACATTGAAACGGTTGAAGACCCGTTCCAGATTACGTACGACTTTTCCTTCGTGCTGCCGGTCAAAGGCCCGTTGGCTGTGCGAGTCCGTGAACTCACTGCACGCTGCGTGTAGACTCATTCCCTCGCACTCAAGTTCTCTATAAGGATACATGTGCAATGGCACATATAACATCATAAATCATCGCTACAACGGCACTTGTGCACAAGCGCGTTCTTTACAGTTTTGCTTTGCGAATGTCAACGTTCTCACGTGTGCAGGTGTACCTGCTGGGCGATGGCCATCCACTTGCAATCACGAAGACTGAACGACTGAGCGTGTAAGATGCAAAGGCGTTTGCGTGAGTAAAAAACGAGCCGAAGAACAGAACGTCGGGTCGCTGATCGGTAGATCCGCTGCCCTTAGTTATTCGCGGATAGCATATCGGAAGGACGACCAGCGCAGAGGAACTTCAACAAGATTCCAATGAACTTGATGCGCGATCTCGTCGTGTGACATCGTGTGACTTTTGCAAACCTACTAACAAAGAAGCATGTTATCGTAAAACCAGCTTCCGTCCCTAACGTAGTTTCGGAGCTGTCGTATATTGTCTACTTGATAGGTCTCCTACCTTCCTTCTCCATTTATTTGCTGTCGTCTACCAGTGTACCATAGCAGCCCTTCTCTAGGACCTCCCATTCTGCTTACATCAACAGCTCCTTTCCATTTTAAAACTTCACATCCAGTTAGCATTGTAACGGGGCAGCCCGTTACATGAAATTGTCACTTTAAGGAAAGTGACAATAAAGAATATAAAGATGGATATTCTTTAAACAATATCACCAAAGTGGTGATATTGAAGGGTCGACCAAAGGGTCTTTTCATTGGTTGATATCGTGATGATATCAACCCACCAATCGCCGCAAGACGCGCGCAATGAGTGGTGACGAGACGTCACCATACATGCAGTTATATTATTATAATTGAATTAAGTCAAACGAAGAGACAGTAGTTTAAAGACTTAATTTATTAATATAACAGTTCTACTTTTACCCTACCTACGCTTCCTCGCTCGCCACGTGTACGTCCGTCGGGGCACCCAAATCCCTTGCGTTAAGTTACGCAAGGGTGTGCCCCGTTACACCTGGTAGCACTTTGTAGTCCTTCCAAGGACCACATCATCCAACATGAACATGTTGGATGAAGAAGACACCTTTCACGCCACGCGTGAAGGGTTTACCCATTTGAGTGACATCAAATGGGGTGCGGTAGAACGAATGAGTTCTACCGTAGGCGAACTCGTCGTCAGCACCATGTTGGAGTCTCTAGACAGAGACCAACAACATGCTGCTATCGCCAAGTTCATTCACAATGAACTTGCTCTCGAGAGGGAGAAAGTAGCCTTGCTTCACCAGCAAGTGTAACAGGCCGAGCAGTTGAGAGAACTCGGTGCTCAACAGACGGAGCTGTTGAGACAGCAGCAATTCCATGCTGCTGTGGGCGGGACGGCGCATGCGCGTCGTCCCGAAGTGATGAAAGTCGACATCTCCAAGTACAGTGGAGTCCCGGAGGACTCCCTGTCACTATGGTTTGTCGAACTCGACAGAGCCCTAAGGGCTCGTCGCGTCGAAGATGAGCAAATGAAACTCACATTTGCTCAGACCCACTTGGCAGGGCGTGCCAAAACTTGGTCCCTGGGACTCGAGAGTAGCGACCCAAACGTGTTTAGGTCGCTAGATGACTTCAAGTCCCGGCTCAGACAAACGTTTGAGCCGCCACGTGCTGAGTTCAGGGCTCGTTCAGAGCTCCTGAAACTCAAGCAGGGTAAGCGTGATGTGCACGCTTACGCACAACATATACGACTCCTTGCGAGTAGTATAACTGCCAACCCAGTTCATGAACACACGTTGATTACGGTGTTCATGCAAGGGCTCGCAGAAGGGCCCGTCAGGAGCCACCTGTTCCGCCTTGAGCTGAATACGCTTGAAGAAGCGATATCAGCCGCGGAACAGGAAGACTTTAGCATGAGACAGGCTCATGCTAGCTCAAACTCTTACCGTCCACCGAGACGACAAGAGATCGGAGGTCCAGAACCAATGGACCTCTGCTATGTTGAGAGCGAGAGACCTCGCTCTACAAACAACAAGCGATTGCAGAGGTGCAATCGCTGTCAGAAGTTAGGGCACTACGCATACGAGTGTAGTGCTCCACGCCCAGTACCAAACAGTACTGAGCGAAATGGACGACCATTTGCCAGAAAGGGCAATGGGCGTGGGTCCAGCGCTGTTGCGAAACGGCAACAGCGGAGAGGACCATCAAAAAATGGTCGGGGTCAGTAGGGGCGGAGCGCCCTACTGATCCGGCAACCTCAAGAGAATTTGCAAATCTCTTGACGAAAGTTGCTCCAGATACACAATCATTGTGTGTCTCTGCACCTGGTGATGACGTTTCGCTCATCACCTTGAAGTTGGAAGCGACAAATGATTTGTCGCTTCGTGCCCTAGTAGACTCGCGTTTGATAGTGTGCAGATAAAAAGGTGCACGGTAAGTCGACCCAGCGGATGCTTTCGCTAGGCTCTCGATGAAATGAGGCTGGCACGTCTATCAGACTCGACGAATGTGCGAGGCTAACCTTGGGAGGAGCGTGTTGGATGAAGCATACTACGATTGGGGTGACAATACTTGACCAGGGCGTTAAGTTGAAGGGTGAGTGTGTGTTGTACACGAGAAAAAGGTTGGAAGGATGCTAACTGGATGTGAAGTTTTAAAATGGAAAGGAGCTGTTGATGTAAGCAGAATGGGAGGTCCTAGAAAAGGGCTGCTATGGTACACTGGTAGACGACAGCAAATAAATGGAGAAGGAAGGTAGGAGACCTATCAAGTAGACAATATACGACAGCTTCGAAACTACGTTAGGGACGGAAGCTGGTTTTACGACAACATGCTTCTTTGTTAGTAGGTTTGCAAAAGTCACACGATGTCACACGACGAGATCGCGTATCAAGTTCATTGGAATCTTGTTGAAGTTCCTCTGCGCTGGTCGTCCTGCCGATATTGTAACGGAGCACACCCTTGCGTGAACTTAACGCAAGGGTTTAGGTGCCCCGACAGACGTACGTAAGGCAAAAGAGGAAGCGTAGATAAGGTAAAAGCAGAACTGTTATATTAATATAATTAAGTCCATAACCACTGTCTCTCTGTTTGACTTAACTTAATCATACTAATCTAACTGAGTGTATGACGACGTCTACTCACCACTTATTGCGCGCGTCTTGCGGCGATTGGTGGGTTGATATCGTCAAGATATCAACCAATGAGCAGACTCTTTGGTCGACCCATCAATATCACCACCATTGGTGATATTGTGAAAAGAATATTCAACATAATATTATTTATTGTCATTATCTTATAAATTACACTTTCCATGTAACGGGCTGCCCCGTTACATCACCCCCCCTTAACTGATAGTCACCGTGTGACTATCGAAAAATATGGCGGCCACCCGTTGGCCACCATTGGGATAGGGAGCACTTGTTGGGTCCGTTCCATTCACTTTCCACCCGACCTCGCATAGTTAACATGTCTATGCGGTGTGACTCAAGACACGCACAGCCTGCTGCTGTGCCAGCCTCTGCGGCAGACGATCGGTCGTCTGCTTCTCGTTCTCCGCCTGCAGCAAGAGGAGCTATAGGTGCACGCGGTACAACACCGCGTGCGCATGATGACCTCGACATTGAGGTCATCTACTCTGGCGAGTCAGACGTGTCTGACCCGAAAAGCCTTTGGAGGCATCGCGTTCACCTGCGGTGTCTCATTCATCCACGACACTGCCGGACGTACGAACTCGTGACATGTGTCACAGTCTATTCGGCAGTGATGATGAGTCTGATGATGATTATGATTGTTCATCTCCGCGATCAACTCATGCTCCTTCGCACGAGCGACTTGACGATGGTGCAAGTCATCGTCATACTGACAACCGTATTACCGACAAGGGTACCATTGTGAAGCGTGATGAGCTGAAGCCGTGGCGTTTGCCTGAACGG